CGAATAACTGACCTCACATTTTGAATGTGCCTACCGATTTCCAGCTTACATGAGCATCTACTAATATTATAGGAACGAATCAGATACACGATCTAGTTCATTGATTGAGATTTACATTTACGTCGTCGACTTCCTCATCGACCGACGGAGATTAAGAAAAATGAGATTCCTCTTGAAGAATCGGTTACTTTCTTTCGAGAACCACGCGGACTAGGTCTAGGGTAGCGAAAATGATTGAAGAACGTTTCAAGATCTTTTTTTAATTCAATTTTGTTTACGAAGGAGCGTACTAGAGTTTTCATTTTCAAGAACTAAGAGAAATAATAATGGTGCACAGGAAGAAGGAAGCGTTCATCTGGTAATCGAGATTATACGAAGGAATACCACGAGGACGAGCACCAGTTGCGAGCTTGTTTTTACTTCATTCATCCCAATTCCTCCATCAAATGCAACTTGATATTGATGATTCTACTTATGGACGTGGATGTGGAAGACGATATTTTGAATGTCTTCTATTTGTCGAAAATTGCGAAAAAAGGAAAGTTGTAATTTAAGAACCAATAAGTCTTTTTATGCTAAAAACGTGATGTTGATGTACTAGTCTTTCTGTGGTAATTTCAAGCCGCGCGCTCCGCGTGCATGCGCCTGACTCACAGCTTCGAAAATTAGTTATGAATTGTCAAGGTCCATCTAGCAGATTGATTGCAGTCTGTTGAGTCTACATCTAGATCTACTACCGTGTCTGAACAAGACAATCCTGTGCGGTCGACGTGTTATCGGCGCCACACTTGCGTGGGCTCGCTGGTGTCTTCATCGGAGGCTCTTCTTCATAGTGTCTATGATCGGTTACACTTACAAGACTAGTCACTATGTGAAGGGAGACGCGTTTCTGTTGGACTCCTCTGAGAGAAATGGCACTTACGTCAAGAGAAGACAACGAGGCGTCGGTCTGAGGCAGTACTTTGTGAATCTGAATCGGCTTCTGCCAAGGCGTCATCGTTTAGTCATGATCGGTAAAGCTAAAACGCAAAGCTACTGCCACCTCTGCCAATGCATGGTCGTGAATCTACTCTAAAAGAAAAATATAGGCTTTTTCGAGAGTGGCATGCATATCATCAAGCACCCCGCTTGCGCAGTGGTAGTGTCACCTCTCCAATGCGACCCGTCCAACCTCCTAAACTCACCACCCTAAAGTAAGTAGGTACTTCTGAAACTCTTTCTTCTAGCAGAGTTAGAGTACTAGTTGAATCATGAAAATAAAACAGGCCTGCCTCCCCTGGGTGTATTATCGCCCCGACCGATCCTGATGGCATTCTTCTAAATGGTGTGTGAAGAGTTCGTGTCCGGTTAGTCGTGCTCTTGCTGCGAAATGTATAAACGCAAACAGATTCGCCAAAAAAAACGTCATAATAAATCCGCGCCATCATTGGCATGGCCTTAGTCGCTATCATTAAGATCATCATCCTCGACATCATGATACAACTCCAACTCGCAACCGACCTAAAAAATCATAGGGACTAGGGAAACAGCCGTAGCTATACATAGAAGTATAGCAGCTAGACCTTCGTCTATCAACAGCTTCACTTTCAGAGCAATTTAAGTTTATTGCTGCACTTTCCGTGTAGCGTTCTTGCCAAGAAGCAACTCTCCCTCGTCAACATTCTTCTACTTACACGACCTAAAGGTAAGGCAGTTTATTTGATCTCGCTCGTTGCGGGACGAGAAACTGGACCTGTACCATGGCGTCCTCTAAAGAGAAAGAAGAAGTTGGAGTAGGACTTCAACCCCGTAAGGAGGAAGCCTCGAAATTTTATGCGTCGTTTTATCCCACGTTGTCTGCTACTGCAGAACAAGAGCAGGACCTCTTACTACCCGGAGACAAAAAGGCAGGAAACGGCACGAAGACCAAGAAGCAGCAAGGCTTGCCGTGCAAGCCGAAATGGATGTACTACACTTACTAGTACTCCCTCTTACATCAACACTTTTATAAGAGATCAACATCATCAATATTATGTTGATTTATTATTTTATATATAGTACACCCTGACTCTACTGACTTTGGCATTCTTGTTTCACATTCGGATTGAACTTGATCTTGATCTTGCTGTTGAAGAACTCGTAGAACGTGAAGAACAAGCTTCGTAGAACCAAGAACACCTACTTTCTTTGCTCCTTTCCGTCAACTGTCGAAATTGTTCCTTTTTATCTTCGGAGTCTGCGATCAGTATCTAGAACTAGAAGTCCTCTCGTTGGAAAGTGCCTGCCTCACAGGTACACCGGCTTAATGACTATTTTTGCCCTTCTTGTGGCGTCGGCGGGATATGTGTTCTTCTTCTCCATGGCGACCACGATTGATGTCAACACCTCCAGCAACGACGTTTATTATTGGATGCTCCAGATGTTCTCGCGGAGCGACAACATTGTTTCCACTTCTAATGGCCACGACGATGCCCTTGGTGGACTCGGAGGTACTACTTACTATTTATGGGCTGAAGAAAACAGATTTTCCTTAGTACCGTAGAGCACTACTTTCTACCCGTAGATACAGATTGAGAAGATACGAGCACCTATTCTACTTTTCATTCATATTGTTGACTCAAATTCAAAATCTTCATCATCATGTTGATGATGTTTATGACTAAAATGGACCAGAATCACCAAGAACAACATTGATTTAATACCTGCTTAGTATTTGAGTCCTCTTTGTCATTTAATGGTCCCTCAGGATGCACTGAAGTGGGAGCTTCTACTCCTTCTTTGTCAGGTTCTGCGAAATTGACGATGAACGGAACGGTGCAGGCGATTCCAAGGATTTCGACTCTTTTTCGTGGTTCGGCGCGGGGCGCGCCTTCCACAGGATTAGGATACGGCGGCTCCTCTTCGGCATTTGGCAATCAACAGCTGCAATATCGTCCACTTATAAAATCGTCCACCATGACAACTTCGCCCACCTCGAATGCCACCTTCATGGAACTGCAAGCTGCTAACTCTGGTCCTGAATCTGTGCAGAAAACGTGGAATCTAATGAAAGCGAAAATGGATGTCTGGCTGAAAGATATGGTTTCCGCGCGGCATCCACTCGTGGTTAAGGCTCTTATATTGTAGTTTGAGTCTAAGTAGTACATTTTTTTATTTGAGCACATCGCTCGATCCGCGTGATACGATGAATTATATCGATAATTTTTATTCTTATAGAATGAGGCGAAGGCGTTCATTCGCGAAGCAACTTCAGTATAGTAATACTACAAGGTATCTTGTAATGAAATTGTTCGGAAAATACGTCGGAATCGGAAATGCATGGTACTAAGTATTTGAAAATATTTAGCACTTCGACACAGCTTTCTATTCATTGGATGACGCATTTTTCGTTAGAGCTTACTATGTCTATGTAAGTAAGTACCCAGAATGACCAAAGTAGCACCCCTTTGCGATATTGCAAGTGGTGCGAGGGCTGACAAGCACAGCTTGATACTCATAAGACATGCGTATACTTCGAGTAAGGTTTTCAAGATTAGCTCAATGATAGAAGTACACTTTAGAGATCGCGCAGGGCAAAAAGGAAGATTGCACAGCTCTAATGTTGCGGCTATCTTTGGGACAGGCGTGGTGAGCTTTGAGAAGGTGGTAGAGAAGTTCCACAGTCACGTAAATGAGCGCGTTTTTTTGGCCGCTTCCGATTCGATGACAAGTGCGGGCTTTCTGCGAGTTGAAGCGGGAACGCTATTAGGGACAACCGTCGCAGGAACGTCGCTGACGCTCAACGTGGAGGCGGGCAGCAAGCTGGGACAAGGGGCTGCTGGGAGTGTCATCGCCGTGACGCCATCGGGAGCGCGATACAGCAATAAAGAGGAGCCAATCAGGGCGCCGCTTGTCGTGAAGATCTCCGATGTGAGTTTGACGAAAATTGCTGGCGCGCCTCCTGGTCAGGATAGCTACCCACACTTCATGTACGATCAGCCAATTTGGGAATCATTCATCTCGAGCTTGCTTTCCATGATCGCCGCAAAGGGAGACCACAACGCGATCCACGGTTGCGTGCCTGCGTTTCACGGTCTCATTCTGTCGGCTAAGAATATGGGTTTTGTCATCGAGCGGGTGCATCCGATGGAATTCATTCGAGACGCTGTCGACGACAATATGCCACAGCTGGTGCCAGAAAGCGCAGCCAGACATTTTTACAACTTGGGGGCGGAACTGAGCATGCACTACTTCCTCGAAGGCTGGGACCGATGTATCGATGCGTTTCATGCGAATGGCGTTTTTCACGGTGACATCAAGCCAGGCAACATGGCGTTGACGTGCGACGCAACGGCGACTGCCCATGGCGCAACCAACGACTGCGGAGAAATCAGCTCGGAGTCGCTTGGCGATGTGCGCAGGCATCGCGCAGTCCTCTTCGATTTCGGAGCCGCGAAACTCTACGCGGATAAGACCACCCAAGGCGGGAGCCAGTGGGTACTTGCGGCCGAAACTTACGCAGATGTGCGGTGGACAACCACACCTCCCGGAAATAAACCCGAGGCTAAGGCAATCGAGGAGGTTCCCAGTGCTTCTACTGCTAAGGTGCATGAGATGTCGCATCGTGGTCCGATCTATTCAACGGGGACTTCTTGGATCACGCACCCCGCAATCTCCGGACTCCCCGTGTGCCCGACCAATCTCCAGGAGGATGCGCCTCCACCTCCTCAAGAACATGCGGGAACAGTGGATACGAAAGCTACACACTTCGGCGCGTATTTAGACAAGCATTCGCTGGCTACATCGATGTTGATTTTGTGGACTTTTGGTGACCCAGATTTGTGGGACGATAGAAATGGGGACGCGGTAGCGGTTGCATTTGGGCGACAGGTTTTTAGTCGCGCTTTGAATTGCGATGCGGCCAATCCGGACAAACGCGACGCGATCATAATTTCGTGCGCCTCATATCCGAGCCCGGAGAGGACAAGCTTCCTGTACGTCATCAGCTATGGTTTACCAAACGAGTCTACAGTCTTCAAAACCATTTTAATCTTTTTTGTCCGTCAGCATCTACCTCTCAAGTTAAGTAATAGAAGATAATTAATGAGTACCACGGGCGCCGCGCTGCGCGCGCCGCGGGGGGCTATTTTTGCAGGGAGAAGAGAAGGCAAGGGCAGCCGAGGAACGAGCGAGGGAAGGGAAGAGAAGACGAGAGTGGAGAACGAGACAAGGGAAGAGGCGCAGGAAGTGCCGAAAGGAGCGGCGTGGGCGGGAGGCTGGCAAGACAGCGGAGAGCAAAGAGGCGCCGGCCGGAGTAGAACCCAAGGCAAAAAACGCGGGGCGCAGCCAGCCAGCTGGACCCTGAACGCCACGAAACAGAGCCGAGCGGCCCGCCTGTTGGCGGCAAGGGCGCAGAAAGGTGCCCACGGCAAGGGGAACAAGGTGCCGCGCCGCGCTGTCGTTGCCACTTGGCGCAACTAAGTAGTTAGAGAGATAGAGCTAGAGGTAGCGGCGTGACGCAGTCGCTACGCCTACGGGGTAGAGAGGTGTGCGCCGCTGAACTCTCTGCGGACCACTCTAAGAGACCGCCGCGACGATGTGAAGCATGTGCGTGAATTCTTCGCGAAAATTTGACCGGGCTGGTCTTCGTTGTCTTTTTGCTTGAGAGGCCAAACCAGGCGCCGAAGGGCTTGCGGCTGCTTTTCGTTTGTTCTGTGTTTCGTCGTTGGTAGCAGCCTCGGGCTCGGGGCCGGTTCGTTTTGGACCGGTCGCACGCCGCTGGCATCGGCGCCGCCTTGGGTGCAGCCGTGGCGCGCTTGTGTGAGCCTCTTGAAGCGCAGGGGGCTGGGGCTGAGGACAGGGAAAATGCTGCTCAGCAGTGTCATCCCAGGCGGCTTCTCGTCTCTTCTGGCTTTTTAGGAAGGAGCATAACCGTCGCGAAAAGTTCGCGAAATCTTTGAAGAGTGTGGTGTGAAACGTTCGCGGAACTCTTTCGAAAAGATAAGCGCGTGAAGATGTAAGCCTGACATGGTCAAGACTTGGAAACTTTGTGCAAACATTCCGCGAAGGTTCTGCGGCTTACTTTTGTCTTCCATGTTTTTTCGAAGGTGGCGCGCAAATGGACTGACAGGAACAAGCCCGCGACAAATTGCAGCGGGGCCGCACAAGGTTCCGCGTCCTGTGTCTCTGCGTGCTTTTTGTGGTCTTGCTTTCTGCTTCTCTCTCCAAGCTTGTGCAGCCTTTTAGGATGTGCGTGCGCATTTGCTTGGGAATTTGTCGGGTGGTAGGTTGCGTCGAAGGTTGGCTCGTTGGCTCGTGATGCTCTCGGGGCAGTGCGTGGTCGAGCTGGTCGCGTGATGGTTCTGTCAGCTCTGCTCTCAGAGGCTTAGCAGAAGCCGCGGGAACAAGTGGACAGGCGCAAACCGAAAGCGGCGCGCGTGAGCCCCGGCAACTTTTCGCCAAGATATTCCGCCGCTCGTAGTCTTAGGGCGCGGCGGTCTCCAACGTCGACCCTTAGCGCCTCGCCGCACCCTGACAAGAAGGAGCACACCCCGCAACGCTCCCGCGGTGTCTTGAGTGATTTCTTTCAAGCATTCAAAGACGTGCTGCTGTCTTTTGTAAGCCGCTACACCTACAGCCGACCGCCAGCGCGCTTGTGTTATCTAGTGGCTGACATATGACTATGAGTGGCCCACGCCCACAGGCACAGACTGCGAGCGGCTCGACGATTAAGCACGGCGACCCACTAACTTGAGGTGGCTGGCTTGCTCTCGATTCTTGACCTGAGCCCACTCAACCCCAACAAGGCCAAGACCGCTGACAAGTGGCCAAAGTGCGTAGCTTGCTGACCTGAGCCCACTCGAGATAGATGCTGGATGTGTTTGGGGGTGGCTCTGGATCTTGGCTTGGTGAGCCGGTGCCTTTGGTCTCGTCTGGGCCTGGAGTGGTTGTCTAGAGTCAGTGCGAGCACCCACCCCCCTCAGTGTCCTCCACCACGAACCTGGGACGAGGGGGGTGGGGCACTGAGGGCTGAAGCATCTAGAGGATTTAGTTTTTAATCTAGTAGTTAGCTTTCCTCTTCGTCTTACTCTTTGCTTTTCTCTTGACCGATACTACGAGTGATGAGAGTGCTGAATGCGTCACGTCTACACACCTCACGGCCTGCTACTACTCCTCTTCAAGATACAATAGTCAGGGGCTACGACTGCGAACTTCTTTGCACTCATACTCACGATCATAAGGATAAGCATAACTAGTTACTTAGTAGTTGTAACTACTAAACTATGACGATTGGACTTGGTAGAGAGTGTCGCTGTAATGTTACCGCTGGCTCTAACTCATTGGCCCCGAGAGCAGGAACTCTTGCTACACGCCCAATGGCTACCCGAAGGACGTTTTGGTCGAAAATTTTCCAACACTGATGAGCGGGCTGTCTGGAAAAGTGCTTGCAACCGCGACTCACGAGCGCATCATGGGTTCGCCAAATAAGGAAGAAGAACAAGCGCAATCGGATGAGCAACGCCACCACGCCGCGGCCAAGCAGGGAGACGCGACGACTGCGAAAGGCAACGAGCCGTCGAGCGATAGCGGCCGCTGAAGCTTGTGCTGCTAGGTCGTGTCTTTTTGTCTAGTTGTGGGGAAGGGGGCAGTAGGCTCTTTTTTGATCTAGCGCATGTCGGTGCTGCATGCCAAAGGGTGAGCACCAAGTAAAGAACTGCTGGGATGGATATGTTCCTCTGAAAAGAGAAGGGATAGAAGATGAGGTAACGATAAACAAAGAGTGTGCAGCTTTTTCATTGTAAAAAATAATGGTGACTCTGATGATGTAGTTGCCCATAGGGGTGCATCAATTTACTTAATTTGAAACTGCTTAGTGTTGTTTTTTGAAGCAGAAGGGAAGAGGTATATAGGATTCGGGGCTGCACGGCCCCCCCCGCCCCCCCCTGTTGGTGGCCCTGTGGTGGCGCTTGCGCGCTCTTCCCCGCGCTGATTTTCGCGGATTCTAGTGGTGGAAGGCGTCGAAATTGGGCGCGGGCGTCCCTTGCGCGTCTCTGCATGTTCTTCAGGGACCTCCTGGCCTGTGCTGACCCTCGCAGGCTGGAGGTCTCTGGTGGAGAAGGCCGCCGAAGGCAGCCACGGTCTCAAGAGCGAGCACGCCGATGACCAAGGACCCGGGGGGTGCAGTCCACACGGCTCAGGGGGTCCAGCCTTGCGCCTTTTGCCGCCTTCGGAGGCCTTCCACACCCGGCGCACTGCGGCGACGGCGAAGCGCGTCGGCCTCGGCACTTTGTAGGGCACACGCAGGCAGCTGGAAGGGACCGGGGGCGGCCCCTTGCGCCCCTTTGGAAGCCTTCCACCCCCGGCAGACGCCTTCAAAAGGGGCCCGGGGCTACCGGTCCCCCCCCTGCGCTCGGGGGGGTGCCGTAGCCCTGAGCCTTGGGACATATGTAATATCTAACTAGTTAGTCTGAGTCTGTACTACTATTACTAATTAGTTATGTATTAATTCGTGTTCCCCTTCCCACCTAGAATCGCTTAAAAGATTTGCTGGAAGGTATGAAAAAAGTAATTGAATTTCGGATATGTTCTTGAATGTGAAATATTGAGAATGAGAAAGACGGCCACAGCCATAAATTCAAAGATCACGGCTACACGCATGAAGGTAATACCTACAGAATATTATCACGATCACCACTGGCATTGACACCTCCAAGAATACACTTTCTTTCCACGTACTTAGTATACTCTGCCTATTATCGCCATTTATGATCAAAAATCGAGTAATGTTATATATCAATCTGTCATGTGTTGTTCGTTGTTGTGCAATTATGTTCATAAAAATTATACATAGAAGAAAGTCGTGAAAGAGTAATGCTAATCATGTATCTATATATTTATAAGTATATTTAGTTATTGCATGACCATGAAGACTCACCAAGGTTGTGGTAATGATATTGCTTCGCCAATAAAAAGAGAGACCACAGAGACAGAGACAAAGACGTAGATGGCGAATCATTTATACGTCCAGGCATACTATGGCTACGTGTGCGTATCTGAGCTTATGGATATCTCCTGCGCAGCATCCGCATTGAAGCATGATAATGATATTGTCGGTAAATCATTGGGACGACGCGAAGGATGATTGTCCTGCTGCACATCCAAAGACAACAGTGCAGAGGCAGCAGCTTTAACGGATATTATCACTCTTTTGACATTCGTCCGCTTCGATCTAATCATTTCAAAAATATCTTCATGCTGTCATTGGGTCATTATAATGAGGCGGGACGAAGACCATGACTAATCATTCAATCACGAAGGGAAGCAGGATGATAGCCATCAAGGGGTGGGTATGACTGATCGTCGTGAATGATAGTCATGAATGATCGTCATGCTGTTGCTGAGTACAAGCTAAGATAATTATGTGATGTCTGACAAACATTGTTTGCTGTAGTAATAAGTTAAAAAGGGGAAGGGCCGTGCTGTTGAAGTCGATACAAGAATGTTGCCCCCGCTGCTCCTGGAAGTGGTCCCTCAGAATAGACTTCTAGATGAACGCGGTGGATCTCCAGTGAAGTAGATGTTTCATCACGTGCCGGTGATGATTCTCCAGTCATGGATCCGCAACCTAACCAGTGAGTAGTGGCCCCTGCAATCGTCGTGACTGTTGAAAAATAGATGTAGAGAGGAGTCTCTACGCAATATAGCTCGGCTATTCTAAGTAGTTGTAGTTACTCAGAGCTCTAGAATGTTCTTGTGAGGAGAAGATGCGCAACTTCTAGAAGCAAGATGTTGTATGTTGAAGTACAAGTCAGTGGATGCATTCAAAGTGCTAGCAGAAGTATTGAAAAAAAATACGAGATGGCCATGGAGTTGTATGAAATGAGAGTAGTTGTACTACTTGTACTGAGTTATATTATAAAACGGGACACTGGAACTGGTAGAGTAGTTGTAGATGATGTCTTGCTCTTGTCAACATGATATAATTAGGCAAGCTTCGTCTATTGAAAATACTTTTACTTGATCCCCCGATGTTTCTTGTTCTGATAAATCTTTTTCGAAGAAAAGGCGAGAATTTCCTTGGGCCACGGAGTCGATTTCTTGAGTTTATCACTTCTTCTCGTTGTAGGTTTTCGTTTTTATCGTCATCATCATGAGACGATCTCTTCAGCTGGTCCAAAATAGACGGAAAAATCAGCCACATCGTGACTGATTTTCTTTGAGGATTGGAAGGATGTGGAGCTCGAAGTTGATTATGTTACCAAGATGATAAACTATGCATGATCACGGTGAACGCATCTTAAAGATGAACACACCAAGACGAGCAAACGCATCACGACGATGGAGACATCAGCAGGATGAAGACATGATAGAATATAAAATGCGAAGTCTTATTCAATGCTTCTAAAGTCATAAACATAGTTGCACCCATGAGCAGAATCTTGCTAATCGTAATAGAAACTGTAGCTCGTAGCGCACTACTTCCATTTGTTTCTGGAATTTATTATTGTATATATTTTCTCAAGCAAGATGCTCATGCGCATGCACCGGCGTAGACATGCTGCATCAAGCAACGACATAACTACGGTAGGTAATCTGGCCTCGTCCTCGTACCTTTTTTTATCTTCTTAGTATGTAACTAAAGCACTTACGCTTAAGCCGAAGCCCCACGAGGTACATTGGGCACACTACTAGCAGTTCGCAGAAGATAAAGAAAGCATGGCGACAGTGAAAACGTAATCTATCAAGATCTATTGTTAGCTTATGTCTCTACAACTTCTAGAGGAGGAGGGGGTGGAGGTGAGAGGGGCCAAACAAATGTCGTGAGAAATAGTATGTTGATAGTTGCAATGTGACGTTGTCAATATTGATCTTTGTGCATAGATGAAAAACAAAAAACTTGGGATACTAAATCGGGGAAAAAAACAAGAGCAGCCACCAGCTACCTAGTATAACTAATGCGGTAGAGTAACAGTAAGAGTTGTACTTGTATAGAGGTATAGTCTTTAGTTGTTTTGACAACAAAAGTAGAGGTTATTTCTTCTACTCGGAGGTGTAGGGAGAGTATTAGAATCTTCGTCACACGACGAGAGAAGGGCGGCGAAGTGACAGCATAATAGTGAATCGGAATCCAATCATAGGAGTGAGATTGTTCTTGGTTGCCATGATCAGACCTATTCTGGTCCATCGGGGGTGGTCGTCATTGTGATCATTATTGTGGTCCAGAATTGTGATTATTCTCGATGATCATGCTAGTTTTTGCTGTGGCTGGTGGTGATGAAGGAGAAGGAGCGACCTCAATCGGAGCGCTAGGCGAGCTAGTGGCGTGAAGTTGATAACTCAAATTCCAATGATTATAGGAATGGATCATATCAATATAATCTGTACTTGTAGTTGTTCTGAAGTCAGATGGGTCCTCTACCGTCCTCTGCGAAGTTCCGCAGTAGACGACTTTATCTGTTGGAAATACCTACTCAGAACACTCCAAGAGCAGAGCAGCGAGTGTCTTCCGCAAGATATTTTCCATTGTCGCGCATCATTGTCAGTCTATATCCTATGCTTCTTGTAGTGAATCACTTTCACGCGAACTATCAATATCTCCTACACGGTCACGGTTTTCATCGGATCCTTGGCCATTCTGCTCATGTTCTTAGTCGGATGGATCTTTCGAGAACTCATCGGATGTTTCGGTTCGAGAGCGAGTAGATGATATTGCCTTTACTTCCAGAATTTTGCAAAACGAGAAATATGTGCAGCTGCGAGAAGATCAGTCTTTCTCATCAATATCGGTAAAGATCGGTAAAAACGGAATGAAGGACCTCGACATGTGGTGGACAGAGTCTTCAGGATCCTTTTATGAAAGGTATCTGGTATCAGGAGCATGTCGTCAATCTTTGGAGAGGCCTTATTCTGAAAATAAATACGCACAGCCACCACGCAGTTTTGTAAACCCGCGTTTATCAAAACCAGAAGCAGTGCCCACAGGAACTGCAAAGCCCTTTGAAATAACCTGTCCACAACGACCTGCGCCGCCTCTGTGACAGCAACAGAAAAAGATACATTTGAAGCGTGTATGACTATGATCGTAGCTAGCTGTTACATATCGTACAGAAGTCTACAAATTATTACATGATTTGTTTCCTTCCTCGAGCTTATTCCAGCCCCCTAGCAGGTGTAGTACAATAAGAGACTATATGTTCGAGCATCTTTGGTTCAGACTGTGAAGAGCACGATGATAAACGAAGGAAAAATGAGTTCGGCTGGTTTTTCCAAGAATCCGGAGCCTCCTTTGAAGCCGACACATGACAAGAAAAGCAAGCAGATGTTGGGCGATCAAAAGACCTTCGCTTCCGCAACGATACTACACGAAGACAAGTACTACTACATAAATTATCGATTATTCCCATCTGATGGGGCACCTACGCCTACTTGCGCCACTGCTCCCTCTACTAGCTTTACGCGCACACGAAGACCTCCCGCAAAGGTAGATAACCTGTGCTGGGTGCTTTAGCCCGCCCTCGCACGACGCACCTCTTGTCTCAAATGATCTTGTCAGGCAATCTCACATCAGCGGCACTGGGAGCCGAGCGCAACAGTGGAAGCAGATGCACTTGGTCGTCTTGTTGTGGGTTGTATTTGTTATGCGCCTTATTCAAACTATTTCGAATAAGTAGTACTTATCGAGCGTGGCGGCCAATTATTTTAAAGAATTTCACCGACTTACCCGGACCTCGTTCAAGGTCTTTGGCTTGTCTGACGCTGACCCGTGGCAAATATTTCTGAAATTCCGCAAAAGAATGCACGCCGACTCGCTCCATTTTTGGACTCACTGGGGCTGGGAATTTCTCTGGGCTTTTTCGAAAATAGTTGGCAATCCCCGACATAATAGCCGATCTTCTTTATTCGCATTCTGTCACGGTGTCAATGTAAGTAGGTAAGTACTTCTTCCACAACTGAGACAAATAGAACTGAGGGAATAGTTTCTACTTGTTAACTTGGTTAAGATGATTGAGATTGCATCATATCATCGATCAGTCACGCCTGTATTAAGTAAACTGCTCGGGTTCTTTTCTATTATCATCTTCTTCTGTGTGTGTGTGTGTGCGTGTAGTGTGAGAGATGCGTCCTTGGTTCTCTCCCCTCCTGCTCAACGTGACCCCTCTCAAGTTCGTGTATCACCTAATATCGCGGACTTCTCTGGGGCATTTCTATAGATACATACATTCTTCTATATCTAATACATAGAAGACAAGAATACTCTTGCTCTCTCCAAGAACTCTCCGCGTCCTCTTCTACTTCTACAGCAGTTGCAAGAATTGCAACTCAGCATGGGTATTCGTATTAGTCAAGTTCGACAGCAGCTTAGAACTGTCTTAAGCTTACACATTAGGATTTGTACTTCTAGTTTTTCGTCTTCGTAATTTGGAAGTTGTAGCGGCCTTTTTTACAGCTTTCATACTTCTCGGAACGGTGTTTCATCTGGTCTTCGTCGCCTTTGTGCCAGATGCTCTCTCCTCCGACTCTGGTGGGAACGACGTGAAAGATCCACCTACTGCGTCTGGTATATTACTAAATCCACTTCCACATAAGTAAAGATGAAGTTCGCAATTGTAAGTAATTGAACGCCTTCAACTCATGTTTTGAGCGGAGCGAATAAATATAACGAATAGGTATGATGACATTGCTCATGCTGTTGGTCTTAGTCCTATTCTCTTCTGCTCGATAACCAAGTGATTATACATATGTAGTTGATGTCAAAACGAACCGAGCAGAGGACCAGAATAATGAGTCTATATATAATTATAGCACCAGATCACTACACTTATTGAATCCTTTATACAGTTCTCCCATCTGGTACTGTTGCTACTGGTCTTCATAACGTTGACTATCTAACTTGACAACAATGACACTCAAAGCTCGCAAACGATGATATCTTGAACGACATCAGATCTTCCTAAATTCTATTAACGCCGAATGCTAATCCTACCGAATAACTGACCTCACATTTTGAATGTGCCTACCGATTTCCAGCTTACATGAGCATCTACTAATATTATAGGAACGAATCAGATACACGATCTAATTCATTGATTGAGATTTACATTTACGTCGTCGACTTCCTCATCGACCGACGGAGATTAAGAAAAAAGAGATTCCTCTTGAAGAATCGGTTACTTTCTTTCGAGAACCACGCGGACTAGGTCGAGGGTAGCGAAAATGATTGAAGAACATTTCAAGATCTTTTTTTAATTCAATTTTATTTACGAAGGAGCGAGCTAGAGTTTTCATTTTCAATTAGACCAGGATTTTTCTCGTTGCACAACCTTGTTTTTTTTTCAAAAATGCCGCTAGTGGCAAGGCCTGGCGAACTCCCCTACGCCTTGGACGCTGCGCGACCATGGGCCTTCGGCGCCGTCGATATCGACAGCGGAGCACCTCCCAAGGCGATCCGGCCCGCCATGAATGATGGCAAACCTAGACCAAACGGCGGAGCCAACCAAGGGGTACGCAAAACGGGCCCATTTTGAAAAAAAAAGAGGCGACAAAAATGGGGGTCATTTTGCACCCCATTTTTGAAAATAAAACGTCGACACTTTTTTCGGCATTAAAACGACCCCACTTTAGGGGGCCTGGGGGGGTACAGCAGGCGACACTTTTGGGGCCAAAAGTGTTGCCTGCTGTACCCCCTCGTTTGGGGGGTCAAAGTGGGCCCTTTTTGCCCCCCCTTTTGACCCCCTCCCGAGCCTTCCAGACCAGAGCCTCCGAAGCGAAGCGGCTCCTCCTGGGACGCCTACGAAGTCCACAGGTTGCCATCCCAGACGAGGGGCTCCGGCTCAGCGGGTCCACTGCGAGGCTAGCGGAGTGGTGACGTCGGTCCATAGAGAATTGGGCCTCCTTAGGCTAGCCAAAAACGAAAAAAAAACAAGGTCGTGCAACGAGGAAAATCCTGGTCTAATTCAAGAACTAAGAGACATAATAATGGTGCACAGGAAGAAGGAAGCGTTCATCTGGTAATCGAGATTATACGAAGGAATACCACGAGGACGAGCACCAGTTGCGAGCTTGGTTTTACTTCATTCATCCCAATTCCTCCATCAAATGCAACTTGATACTGATGATTCTACTTATGGACGTGGATGTGGACAACGATATTTTGAATGTCTTCTATTTGTCGAAAATTGCGAAAAAAGGAAAGTTGTAATTTAAGAACCAATAAGTCTTTTTATGCTAGAGTGACTACTAGTCTTTCTGTGTTGATTTCAAGCCGCGCGCTCTGCGTGCATGCGCCTGACTCACAGCTTCGAAAATTAGTTATGAATTGCCAAGGTCTATCTACTAGCAGATTGATTGCAGTCTGTTGAGTCTACATCTAGATCTACTACCGTGTCTGAACAAGACAATCCTGTCCGGTCGCCGTGTTATCGGCGCCACACTTGCGTGGGCTCGCTCGTGTCTTCATCGGAGGCTCTTCTTCATAGTGTCTATGATCGGTTACAAGACTAGTCATTATGTGAAGGGAGACGCGTTTCTGTTGGACTCCTCTGAGAGAAATGGCACTTACGTCAAGAGAAGACAACGAGGCGTCGATCTGAGGCATTACTTTGTGAATCTGAATCGGCTTCTGCCAAGGCGTCATCGTGTAGTCATGATCGGTAAAACTAAAACGTAAAGCTACTGCCACATCTGCCAATGCATGGTCGTGAATCTACTCTAAGAGAAAAATATGGGCTTTTTCGAGAGTGGCATGCATATCATCAAGCACCCCGCTTGCGCAGTGGTAGTGTCACCTCTCCAATTCGACCTGTCCAACCTCCTAAACTCACCACTCTAAAGTAAGTAGGTACTTCTGAAACTCTTTCTAGCAGAGCTAGAGTACTAGTTGAATCATGAAAATAAAACAGGCCTGCCTCCCCTGGGTGTATTATCGCCCTGACCGATCCTGATGGCATTCTTCTAAATGGTGTGTGAGTAATTCGTGTCCGGTTAGTCGTGCTCTTGCTGCGAAATGTATAAACGCAAACAGATACGCCAAAAAAAACGTCATAATAAATCCGCGCCATCATTGGCATGGCCTTAGTCGCTATCATTAAGATCACCATCCTCGACATCATGATACAGCTCCACCTCGCAACCGACCTAAAAAATCATAGGGACTAGCGAAACAGCCGTAGCTATACATAGAAGTATAGCAGCTAGACCTTCGTCTATCAACAGCTCCACTTTCAGAGCAATTCAAGTTTGTTGCTGCACTTTCCGTGTAGCGTGAAGAAGCAACTCTCCCTCGTCAACATTCTTCTACTTACACGACCTAAAGCAGTTTATTTGATCTCGCTCGTTGGGAGAAGAAAAACTGGACCTGTACCATGGCGTCCTCTAAAGAGAAAGAAGAAGTTGGAGTAGGACTTCAACCCAGTGAGGAGGAAGCCTCGAAATTTTATGCGTCGTGTTATCCCACGTTGTCTGCTACTGCAGAACAAGAGCAGGACCTCTTACTACCCGGAGACAAAGAGGCAGGAAACGGCACGAAGACTAAGAAGCAGCAAGGCTTGTCGTGCAAGCCGAAATGGATGTACTACACTTACTAGTACTCCCTCTTACAACATCAACACTTTTATAGCAGATCAACATCATCAATATCATGTTGATTTATTTTATATATACTACATTCTACTACTACTGACTTTGGCATTCTTGTTTCACATTCGGATTGAACTTGATCTTGCAGTTGAAGAACTCGTAGAACGTGAAGAACAAGCTCCGTAGAAGCAAGAACATCTTTCTTTGCTCCTTCCCGTCAACTGTCAAAATTGTTCCTCTTTATCTTCGGAGTCCGCGATGAACTAGAAGTCCTCTCGTCGGAAAGTGCCCGCCTCACAGGTACACGACCGGCTTAATTACTATTTTTGCCCTTCTTGTGGCGTCGGCGGGATATGTGTTCTTCTTCTCCATGGCGACCACGTTTGATGTCAACACCTCCAGCAACGACGTTTATTATTGGATGCTGCAGATCTTCTCGCGGAGCGACAACATTGTTTCTACTTCTAATGGCCACAACGATGCCCTTGGTGGACTCGGAGGTACTACTTACTATTTATGGGCTGTAGAAAACAGATTTTCCTTAGTACCGTAGAGCACTACTTTCTAACCGTAGATACAGATTGAGAAGATACGAGCACCTATTCTACTTTTCTTTCATATTGTTGACTCAAATTCAAAATCTTCATCATCATGTTGATGATGTTTATATCTAGAATGGATCAGAATCACCAAGAACATTGATTTAATACCTGCTTAGTATTTATTGAGTCCTCGTCTTTGTCATTTGATGGTCCCTCAGGATGCACTGAAATGGGAGTTTCTACTCCTTCTTTATCAGGTTCTGTGAAATTGACAATGAACGGGACGGTGCAGGCGATTCCAAGGATTTCGACTCTTCTTCGTGGTTCGGCGCGGGGCGCGCCTTCCACAGGATTAGGATATGGCGGCTCCTCTTCGGCATTTGGCAATCAACAGCTGCAATATCTTCCACTTATAAAATCGCCCACCATGACAACTTCGCCCACCTCGAATGCGACCTTCATGGAACTGCAACCTGTTAACTCCGGTCCTGAATCTGTGCAGAAAACGTGGGATCTAATGCAAGCAAAAATGGATGTCTGGCTGAAACGTATGGTGCCCGCGCAGCATCCACCCGCGGTTAAGGCTCTTATACGATAGTTTGAGTCTACGCACATCTTTTTATTTGAGCACATCGCTCGATCCGCGTGATACGATGAATTATATCGATAATTTTTTATCCTATATATACGTAGAATGAGGCGAAGGCGTTCACTCGCGAACCAGCTTCAGGATAATACTAGGTATCTTGTAATGAAATTGCTCGGAAAATACGGAATCGGAAACGCTTGGTACTATTTGAAAATATATTTTTTGCACTTCGACACCTTTCTACTCATTCGATGACGCATTTTTCGTTAGAGCTTACTATGTCTGTGCAAGTGCCCAGAATGACCAAAGTAGCACCCCTTTGCGTTATTGCGAGTGGTGCTAGGGCTGACAGGCACAGCTTGATACTCGGAAGACATGCGTATCCTTCGAGCAAGGTTTTCGAGATTAGCTCAATGATAGAAGTACACTGTAGACATTGCGCAGGGCAAAGAGGAATATTGCACAGCTCTAATGTTGCGGCTAACTCTGGTCCTGAATCTGTGCAGGAAGCGTGGAACTCAATGAAAGAGGAAATGGATGCCTGCCTGAAAGGTATGGCCTCCGCGCAGCAGTCACTCGTGGTTAAGGCTCTTTCTTATACTATAGTTTGAGTCAAAGCGCATCTTTTTATTTGAGCACGTCGCTCGATCCGCGTGATAGATACGATGAATTTTATCGATAAATAATTTTATTCTTATAGAATGAGGCGAAGGCCTTCACTTGCGAACCAACTTCAGTATAGTCCTAGGAGTCTTGTGATGAAATTGTTCGGAAAATACGGAATCGGAAATGCATGGCACTATTTGAAAACATTTAGCGCGTCGACACCTATCGGGTGGCGTGTTTCGTTAGAGCTTGCCATTACTTAATATGTACTCAGAATGACCAAAGTAGCGCCCCTTTGCGTTATTGCAAGGGGTGCTAGGGCTGACAAGCACAGCTTGATATTGATAAGACATGCGTATACAACTTCGAGCAAGGTTTTCGAGATTAACTCAATGATAGAGGTACACTTTAGAGATCGCGCAGGGCAATAAAGAGGAATATTGCACAGCTCTAATGTTGCGGCTAACTCTGTTCCTGAATCTGTGCAGGCAACGTGGAAGCGAATGAAAGAGAAAATGGTTTTCTGGCTGACAGATATGGTTTCCGCGCAGCATCCACTCGTGGTTAAGGCTCCTCTTATGTTATAGTTTGAGTCTAAGTACATCTTTTCATTTGAGCACATCAACCCGCGTGATACGTATGACACTAAAAAAAGTACTAGTCCTAATTATTTATAAATTACATAAATATCGCTTCGATTGACTACGAGTTTATGTAGAAGTCTAGTAATTGACTAGAGGGGATCAGTCACGCGGAAGGCTGGAGACGACGACGGAGCAACCACCTGCCAACGCACTTCCACAGCCAGCAACTTGGAGGAGGTCATCTTCTAGAATAGCCGGACTGTGCTCAAGAAGAGGCTGCTCGAGCTGGACCATGATACTTCGAACGAGACTTGCCCCACCTGGTGCCTGGCGTGCATCACTTACTTGTCCCCGAGTTGCTGCAGAGGAGAAGCAGGGGGCCCACCCTGCTGCCTCGCTACCGCAAAATTGGCACAGCCATCGATCGCAGTCTCCTCTCCTTTGATCCCGCACTTCGTGGCCTGCCAGCTGCCGCAGACTGATCCCCTAACTAACCTCATAACTTGCCATACCTCATAATACTCACCTACTTGTAGCATCTACCAAATTTACAAATTTTTAGTACTAGTACCTTTTTTTTTGTCATAATTCGATGAGTAATCTCATCGATAATTATTTTTATTCTTATAGAATGAGGCGGAGGCGTTCAATTGCGAACCAACTTCAGTATAGTACTAGGAGTCTTGTAATGAAATTGTTCGGAAAACACGGAATCGGAAATGCGTGGCACTATTTGAAAGCATTTAGCACTTCGACACAGCTCTCTATCGGATTGCGCGTTTTTCGTTAGAGCTTACCATTACTATGTACCCAGAATGACCAAAGTAGCACCCCTTTGCGTTATTGCAAGTGGTGCTAGGGCTGACAAGTAGCACAGCTTGATATTCGTAAGACATGCGTATACTTCGAGCAAGGTTTTCAAGATTAACTCAATGATAGAAGTACACTTCAGAGATCGCGCAGGGCAACGAGGAATATCGCACAGCTCTAATGTTGCGGCTATCTTTGGGACGGGCGTAAGCTTGGAGAAGGTGGTAGCGAAGTTCGACAGTCACGTAAACGAACACGTTTTTCTGGCCGTTTCCGGTTCGATGACAAGTGCGGGTTTTCTGCATGTTGAAGCGGGAACGCTATCAGGGAAAACCGTCACAGGAACGTCGCAGCTGACGCTCAGCTTGGAGGCGGGCAGCAAGCTGGGACTAGGGGCTACTGGGAGTGTCATCCCTGTGAAGCCATCGGGAGCGCGATACAGCAATAACAAGCAGCCAATCAGGGCGCCGCTTGTCGTGAAGATCTCCGATGTGAGTTTGACGAAAATTGCTGGCGCGCCTTCTGGTCAGGATCGCTACCCACCCTTCATGTACGATCAGCCAACTTGGGAATCATTCATCTCGAGCTTGCTTTCCATGATCGCCGCAAAGCCAGACCACAACGCGACCGGCGGTTGCGTGCCTGCGTTTCATGGTCTCATTCTGTCGGCTAAGAACATGGGTTTTGTCATGGAGCGGGTACATCCGATGGAATTCATTCGAGACGTTGTCGACGACAATACGTCACAGCTTGTGCCAGAAAGCGCAGCCAGACGTTTTTACCAGTTGGGGGCGGAACTGAACATGCAGTACTTCCTCGACGGCTGGGACCGATGTATCGATGCGTTTCATGCGAATGGCGTTTTTCACGGTGACATCAAGCCAGGCAACATGGCGTTGACGTGCGACGCAACGGCGACTGCCCATGGCGCAACCAACGACTGCGGAGAAATCAGCTCGGAGTCGCTTGGCGATGTGCGCAGGCATCGCGCAGTCCTCTTCGATTTCGGAGCCGCGAAACTCTACGCGGATAAGACCACCCAAGGCGGGAGCCAGTGGGTACTTGCGGCCGAAACTTACGCAGATGTGCGGTGGACAACCACACCTCCCGGAAATAAACCCGAGGCTAAGGCAATCGAGGAGGTTCCCAGTGCTTCTACTGCTAAGGTGCATGAGATGTCGCATCGTGGTCCGATCTATTCAACGGGGACTTCTTGGATCACGCACCCCGCAATCTCCGGACTCCCCGTGTGCCCGACCAATCTCCAGGAGGATGCGCCTCCACCTCTTCAAGAACATGCGGGACCAGTGGATACGAAAGCTACACACTTCGGCGCGTATTTAGACAAGCATTCGCTGGCTACATCGATGTTGATTTTGTGGACTTTTGGTGACCCAAAATTCTGGAACGCAGAAAATAGAAATGAGGTAGCGGTTGCATTTGGGCGACAGGTTTTTAGTCACGCTCTGAATTGCGATGCGGCCAATCCGGACAAACGCGACGCGATCATAATTTCGTGCGCCTCATATCCGAGCCCGGACAGGACAAGCTTCCTTGACGTCATCACCTATGGTTTACCAAACGAGTCTACAGTCTTCAAAACCATTTTAATCTTTTTTGTCCGTCACCATCTACCTCTCAAATTAAGTAATAGAAGATAATTAATGAGTACCACGGGCGCCGCGCTGCGCGCGCCGCGGGGGGCTATTTTTGCAGGGAGAGGAGAAGGCAAGGGCAGCCGAGGAACGAGCGAGGGAAGGGAAGAGAGGACGAGAGTGGAGAACGAGACAAGGGAAGAGGCGCAGGAAGTGCCGAAAGGAGCGGCGTGGGCGGGAGGCTGGCAAGACAGCGGAGAGCAAAGAGGCGCCGGCCGGAGTAGAACCCAAGGCAAAGAGGCAGCCAGCCAGCTGGACCCTGAACGCCACGAAACAGAGCCGAGCGGCCCGCCTGTTGGCGGCAAGGGCGCAGAGAGGTGCCCACGGCAAGGGGAACAAGGTGCCGCGCCGCGCTGTCGCTGCCACTTAGCGCAACTAAGTAGTTAGAGAGATAGGGCTAGAAGAGGTAGCGGCGTGACGCAGTCGCTACGCCTACGGGGTAGAGAGGTGTACGCCGCTGAACTCTCTGCGGACCACTCTAAGAGACCGCCGCGACGATGTGAAGCATGTGCGTGAATTCTTCGCGAAAAATTTGACCGGGCTGGTCTTCGTTGTCTTTTTGCTTGAGAGGCCAAACCAGGCGCCGAAGGGCTTGCGGCTGCTTTTCGTTTGTTCTGGGTTTCGTCGTTGGTAGCAGCCTCGGGCTCGGGGCCGGTTCGTTTTGGACCGGTCGCACGCCGCTGGCATCGGCGCCGCCTTGGGTGCAGCCGTGGCGCGCTTGTGTGAGCCTCTTGAAGCGCAGGGGGCTGGGGCTGAGGACAGGGAAAATGCTGCTCAGCAGTGTCATCCCAGGCGGCTTCTCGTCTCTTCTGGCTTTTTAGGAAGGAGCATAACCGTCGCGAAAAGTTCGCGAAATCTTTGAAGAGTGTGGTGTGAAACGTTCGCGGAACTCTTTCGAAAAGATAAGCGCGTGAAGATGTAAGCCTGACATGGTCAAGACTTGGAAACTTTGTGCAAACATTCCGCGAAGGTTCTGCGGCTTACTTTTGTCTTCCATGTTTTTTCGAAGGTGGCGCGCAAATGGACTGACAGGAACAAGCCCGCGACAAATTGCAGCGGGGCCGCACAAGGTTCCGCGTCCTGTGTCTCTGCGTGCTCTTTGTGGTCTTGCTTTCTGCTTCTCTCTCCAAGCTTGTGCAGCCTTTTAGGATGTGCGTGCGCATTTGCTTGGGAATTTGTCGGGTGGTAGGTTGCGTCGAAGGTTGGCTCGTTGGCTCGTGATGCTCTCGGGGCAGTGCGTGGTCGAGCTGGTCGCGTGATGGTTCTGTCAGCTCTGCTCTCAGAGGCTTAGCAGAAGCCGCGGGAACAAGTGGACAGGCGCAAACCGAAAGCGGCGCGCGTGAGCCCCGGCAACTTTTCGCCAAGATATTCCGCCGCTCGTAGTCTTAGGGCGCGGCGGTCTCCAACGTCGACCCTTAGCGCCTCGCCGCACCCTGACAAGAAGGAGCACACCCCGCAACGCTTCCGCGGTGTCTTGAGTGATTTCTTTCAAGCATTCAAAGACGTGCTGCTGTCTTTTGTAAGCCGCTACACCTACAGCCGACCGCCAGCGCGCTTGTGTTATCTAGTGGCTGACATATGACTATGAGTGGCCCACGCCCACAGGCACAGACTGCGAGCGGCTCGACGATTAAGCACGGCGACCCACTAACTTGAGGTGGCTGGCTTGCTCTCGATTCTTGACCTGAGCCCACTCAACCCCAACAAGGCCAAGACCGCTGACAAGTGGCCAAAGTGCGTAGCTTGCTGACCTGAGCCCACTCGAGATAGATGCTGGATGTGTTTGGGGGTGGCTCTGGATCTTGGCTTGGTGAGCCGGTGCCTTTGGTCTCGTCTGGGCCTGGAGTGGTTGTCTAGAGTCAGTGCGAGCACCCACCCCCCTCAGTGTCCTCCACCACGAACCTGGGACGAGGGGGGTGGGGCACTGAGGGCTGAAGCATCTAGAGGATTTAGTTTTTAATCTAGTAGTTAGCTTTCCTCTTCGTCTTACTCTTTGCTTTTCTCTTGACCGATACTACGAGTGATGAGAGTGCTGAATGCGTCACGTCTACACACCTCACGGCCTGCTACTACTCCTCTTCAAGATACAATAGTCAGGGGCTACGACTGCGAACTTCTTTGCACTCATACTCACGATCATAAGGATAAGCATAACTAGTTACTTAGTAGTTGTAACTACTAAACTATGACGATTGGACTTGGTAGAGAGTGTCGCTGTAATGTTACCGCTGGCTCTAACTCATTGGCCCCGAGAGCAGGAACTCTTGCTACACGCCCAATGGCTACCCGAAGGACGTTTTGGTCGAAAATTTTCCAACACTGATGAGCGGGCTGTCTGGAAAAGTGCTTGCAACCGCGACTCACGAGCGCATCATGGGTTCGCCAAATAAGGAAGAAGAACAAGCGCAATCGGATGAGCAACGCCACCACGCCGCGGCCAAGCAGGGAGACGCGACGACTGCGAAAGGCAACGAGCCGTCGAGCGATAGCGGCCGCTGAAGCTTGTGCTGCTAGGTCGTGTCTTTTTGTCTAGTTGTGGGGAAGGGGGCAGTAGGCTCTTTTTTGATCTAGCGCATGTCGGTGCTGCATGCCAAAGGGTGAGCACCAAGTAAAGAACTGCTGGGATGGATATGTTCCTCTGAAAAGAGAAGGGATAGAAGATGAGGTAACGATAAACAAAGAGTGTGCAGCTTTTTCATTGTAAAAAATAATGGTGACTCTGATGATGTAGTTGCCCATAGGGGTGCATCAATTTACTTAATTTGAAACTGCTTAGTGTTGTTTTTTGAAGCAGAAGGGAAGAGGTATATAGGATTCGGGGCTGCACGGCCCCCCCCGCCCCCCCCTGTTGGTGGCCCTGTGGTGGCGCTTGCGCGCTCTTCCCCGCGCTGATTTTCGCGGATTCTAGTGGTGGAAGGCGTCGAAATTGGGCGCGGGCGTCCCTTGCGCGTCTCTGCATGTTCTTCAGGGACCTCCTGGCCTGTGCTGACCCTCGCAGGCTGGAGGTCTCTGGTGGAGAAGGCCGCCGAAGGCAGCCACGGTCTCAAGAGCGAGCACGCCGATGACCAAGGACCCGGGGGGTGCAGTCCACACGGCTCAGGGGGTCCAGCCTTGCGCCTTTTGCCGCCTTCGGAGGCCTTCCACACCCGGCGCACTGCGGCGACGGCGAAGCGCGTCGGCCTCGGCACTTTGTAGGGCACACGCAGGCAGCTGGAAGGGACCGGGGGCGGCCCCTTGCGCCCCTTTGGAAGCCTTCCACCCCCGGCAGACGCCTTCAAAAGGGGCCCGGGGCTACCGGTCCCCCCCCTGCGCTCGGGGGGGTGCCGTAGCCCTGAGCCTTGGGACATATGTAATATCTAACTAGTTAGTCTGAGTCTGTACTACTATTACTAATTAGTTATGTATTAATTCGTGTTCCCCTTCCCACCTAGAATCGCTTAAAAGATTTGCTGGAAGGTATGAAAAAAGTAATTGAATTTCGGATATGTTCTTGAATGTGAAATATTGAGAATGAGAAAGACGGCCACAGCCATAAATTCAAAGATCACGGCTACACGCATGAAGGTAATACCTACAGAATATTATCACGATCACCACTGGCATTGACACCTCCAAGAATACACTTTCTTTCCACGTACTTAGTATACTCTGCCTATTATCGCCATTTATGATCAAAAATCGAGTAATGTTATATATCAATCTGTCATGTGTTGTTCGTTGTTGTGCAATTATGTTCATAAAAATTATACATAGAAGAAAGTCGTGAAAGAGTAATGCTAATCATGTATCTATATATTTATAATTATATTTAGTTATTGGTATTGCATGACCATGAAGACTCACCAAGGTTGTGGCAATGATATTGCTTCGCCAATAAAAAGAGAGACCACAGAGACAGAGATAAAGACGTAGATGGCGAATCATTCATGCGTCCAGGCATACTATGGCTACGTGTGCGTATCTGAGCTTATGGATATCTCCTGCGCAGCATCCGTATTGAAGCATGATAATGATATTGTAGGTAAATCATTGGGACGATGCGAAGGATGATTGTCCTGCTGCACATCCAAAGACAACAGTGCAGAGGCAGCAGCTCTAACGGATACTATCACTCTTTTGACATTCGTCCGCTTCGATCTAATCACTTCAAAAATATCTTCATGCTGTCATTGGGTCATTGCGATGAGGCGGGACGAAGACCATAACTAATCATTCAATCATACAGGGGAGCAGGATAATAGTCATCAAGGGGTGGGTATGACTGATCGTCGTGAATGATAGTCGTGAATGATCGTCATGCTGAGTATAAGTTAAGATAATTATGTGATGTCTGACAAACAGAAACATTGTTTGCTGTAGTAAAATAAGTTAAAAAGGGGGAGGACAGTGCTGTTGAAGTCGATGCAAGAATGTTGCCCCCACTGCTCCTGGAAGTGGTCCCTCAGAATAGACTTGTAGATGAACGCGGTGGATCTCCAGTGAAGTAGATGATTCATCACGTGCCGGTGAAGGTGATGATTCTCCAGTCAAGGATCCGCAACCTAGCCAGTAGTGGCCCTTGCAATCGTCGCGACTGTTGAAAAATAGATGTAGAGAGGAGTCTCTACGCAACATAGCTCGGCTATTCTAAGTAGTTGTAGGTACTCAGAGCTCTAGAATGTTCTTGTGAGGAGATGCGCAACTTCTAGAAGCAAGATGTTGTATGTTGAAGTACAAGTGGATGCATTTAAAGTTCTAGAAGATGTATTGAAAAAAAATACTAGATGGCCATCTAGATGTTGTAGTTGTATGAAATACGAGTAGTTGTACTGAAATATATTATACAACTGGTAGAGTAGTTGTAGATGATGTCTTGCTCTTGTCAACATGATAGGCAAGCCTCGTCTATTGAAAATACTTGATCCCCCGATGTTTCTTGTTCTGATGAAGCTTTTTCGAAGAAAAGGCGATAATTTCCTTGGGCCACGGAGTCGATTTCCATTTCTTGAGTTTATCACTTCTTCTCGTTGTAGGTTTTCGTTTTTATCGTCATCATCATGAGACGATCTCTTCAGCTGGTCCAAAATAAACGGAAAAATCAGCCACGTCGTGACTGATTTTCTTTGAGGATTGGAAGGATGTGGAGCGCGAAGTTGATTATGTTACTAAGATGATAAACTATGCATGATCACGGTGAACGAATCTTCAAGATGAACACACCATGACGACCAAACGCATCACGACGATGGAGACATCAGCAGGATGAAGACATGATAGAATATAAAATGCGAAGTCTTGTTAAATGCTTATAAAGTCATAAACATAGTTGCCCCCATGAGCAGAATCTTGCTAATCATAATAGAAACTGTAGCTCGTAGCGCACTACTTCCATTTGTTTCTGGAATTTATTATTGTATATTTTTTCTCAAGCAAGATGCTCATGCTCATGCACCGGCGTAGAAATGCTGCATCAAGCAACGACATAACTACGGTAGGTAATCTGGCCTCGTCCTCGTACCTTTTTTTATCTTCTTAGTAACTAAAGCACTTACCCTTAAGCCCCACGAGGTACATTGCTTACACTACTAGCAGTTCGCAGAAGATAAAGAAAGCATGGCGACAGTGAAAACGTAATCTATCAAGATCTATTGTTAGCTTATGTCTCTACAACTTCTAGAGGAGGAGGGGGTGGAGGTGAGAGGGGCCAAACAAATGTCGTGAGAAATAGTATGTTGATAGTTGCAATGTGACGTTGTCAATATTGATCTTTGTGCATAGATGAAAAACAAAAAACTTGGGATACTAAATCGGGGAAAAAAACAAGAGCAGCCACCAGCTACCTAGTACAACTAATGCGGTAGAGTAACAGTAAGAGTTGTACTTGTATAGAGGTATAGTCTTTAGTTGTTTTGACAACAAAAGTAGACGTTATTTCTTCTACTCGGAGGTGTAGGGAGAGTATTAGAATCTTCGTCACACGACGAGAGAAGGGCGGCGAAGTGACAGCATAATAGTGAATCGGAATCCAATCATAGGAGTGAGATTGTTCTTGGTTGCCATGATCAGACCTATTCTGGTCCATCGGGGGTGGTCGTCATTGTGATCATTATTGTGGTCCAGAATTGTGATTATTCTCGATGATCATGCTAGTTTTTGCTGTGGCTGGTGGTGATGAAGGAGAAGGAGCGACCTCAATCGGAGCGCTAGGCGAGCTAGTGGCGTGAAGTTGATAACTCAAATTCCAATGATTATACCATAGGAATGGATCATATCAATATCTGTACTTGTTGTTGTTCTGAAGTCAGATGGGTCCTCTACCGTCCCCTGCGAAGTTCCGCAGTAGACGACTTTACCTGTTGGAAATACCTACTCAGAACACTCCAAGAGCAGAGCAGCGAGTGTCTTCCGCAAGATATTCTCCATTATCGCACATCGTTGTCAGTCTATATCCTATGCTCCTTGTAGTGAATCATTTTCACGCGAACTATCAATATCTCCTACACGGTC